TTTAATAGTTTTACTCCATAATACTGGAAATGTGTAGTCAATATTTTTTTCCCTAACTCGACGTGGTATTTCTGTTTTATTTATTTATTAACAATAATTTTACTCTGTGCCAGATACTGTTCTAAATGCCTTATAAATACATTAACTTAATTCTAATAACAATGTGAGTAGGCTCTAGCCTTTCCATTTTTAGATAAGAAAACTAAGGTATGTAGATGAGGTGACTTGCCCAAGGTCATACAGATTGTAAGCCAAGGAGCTGGGATTTGAACTCAGCCTGGCTCCAAAGTCTGATCTAAAGTTTTCAATATTTAAAAGTCTGTATTTCTGGGGCGGGCTTTTCCCTAGCTTTCCCCAGTTTGGGTTTTAGGCAGACACGCCCAACAGCGCGCCGAGAGTCATTTCTCGCAATCTTGCAAGAAAGTAATTATTTTACCCAGCTTCACAGAGGAGGGGAGTTAGGGCTGAAGAGGGTAGGTTCTGAGTTGGCATTCGCTAGATCTTTTTCTACAAACTATCCTGCCTTAAGGATCTGCTTCGAGTATTTCTCTTTCCAACACGACAGCCCAGTGCTGGGCTAGGCCTGAGGGTTACGGTGGAAGGCGGGCTGCAAGGTGGAATGGGCTGAGGGTCCGAGGCTCTGGACCCTGGGCCGTCCCAGCTCACACTGCCCCTTCCCCCAGGCTCAGTGAGACGCGGGAGCCAGACCGAACCAAACGTGTGGCTCCTCGAAGTGGGGGCCACCTGGGACCTGTACCCCACCGGGCTGCACCTTCTCCATCCGGGCCGCACCTGCAGCCCCACCGTCGCGCGTCCATCTTGCCCATCCTTAACGCCCCCTTCCTTGCTCTGTGCCCCGACCCTGACTGTGCTTAGACAGAGATGCACTCGAGTGAGAACGCTGAGGCTCCAGCAGAGGCCTTGTTGCGCTGAGGTCCCCAGGGTAGTGGGCTCTGGTCCAAGCTCCAGGCTGAGCGCTGTCACCACCTGCGTGTCCACAGCCTGCTTCCTGGCCCCGCGGGACTGGCCAGAGTGCCACGCTGCCAGCCGGGCCGCCGCCCACCCACCCCAACCCCCGGGTAAATATCTTAGGGAATTTTCCATAAAAGTAATGGACAATTTTTTCCGAGGTTCTACCCAAGCTCTGTCTGGGTGGAGTCTTGTGGATGGATGTGCCCCACCCTAGAGAGATGCCCGGCCCCGTCACATCCTCTAGGCCACGTGGTTTCTGGCTTTGCACCGGCCTCAGACTGACTCTGGCGCCTGTTTTAGGGGAGGAGGACCCAGTGTCCCACGGCCACCACCGCAGCCGCGTGCAGGGCCCCCCGGGGCCTCGTGCAGCACAGGGCAGGGTGGGTGCGGGCAGAGTTGAGAGGCGCTCCAGCCCACCGAACTGAGCCTCCATTGCCTGCGTGTCACCGATTGTCTACGAAGCCATTGTACTTTGACAGTGGTCAGCCGTTTAAATGCAGGGGAAAATGCAGAAGTCTTACTTAAAGAAAGTACTAGTGTTGCGTGGGCAGCAGATACAAACGAAGTGAGTAAAGTAAGAATAAAGGAATGGGCGTTCACGGTACCCCTGCTCCGCCACGGGCATCGCTGGGTACCCTGGATGAGGTGACCTCGTGTGCCCCCAGCCTCGGTCCTGGCGCCTCGCAGGTGGTCTTTCCTTATAGACCTCACGCCGGGACCCAGCTGGCTCTTGGCGTGGGTGTCCCCTCTCTTTTCTCGCTGGGATGCTGTGGCCTCTGCCGCTGTCGTCACGCAGAGGCAGTCACCCACCGGGCTGGTCTGGCTCAGGCGGCACCAGTGGGGGCGACGCTCCGTGGTCCCGACCTCTGCTGTTGTTGGTCTTGGGTTACTTCGCGGTCATTTAAAATTGTCTCCTGTTTAACTCTGAACGTTCGCTTCATCACCCGTTCAGGAACACGTCAGTCTTCCTCCTGCGTTTGCCCTTCACTTTCACATGACTGCCACGCTCAGAAGTGACGTCAGACGTGGTTTCCCCACCAAGCAATCCAGGGCACCAGCGGGGTGTCGCACAGTTCCACTCTGACACCGTGTACCTGGAGATGGCGTCAGATCCCACACCAAGCAATCCAGGGCACCAGCGGGGTGTCGTACAGTTCCACTCTGACACTGTGTACCTGGAGATGGCGTCAGATCCCACGGGTTAAGGGCTCAGTCCCACGTGCCTGCTCCCCTGACCCCCCCAGACGCTCACTGCAAGTCCAGGTTGTCACCTGTGCTGACCAGTTGGCTATAAATCAGAGGTTCCCACGACCTCCTCTTGGGTTCGATTAATTTACTAGAACTCCTCACAGAACTCGGGATCACTGTTCTCTTACTGTTCACTGGTTTATTATAAAACGACATGATAAAGGATCCAGGTGGGCATCCGGGTGGAAGAGGTGCGTGGGGCAGGGTATGGGGAGGGGCTTATGCCCGTGTTCCCCCGCCTGGAAGCTCCCTGAAGCCCGTGCTGTTGGGACTTCATGGAGGTGTCCTCACAAGGGCGTGCTCGTTCATTAGCTCCATTTCCAGCCCGTCCCCCCTCTCGAGAGTGGGGGTGGGGAGCCTGAAAATCGTGGTGACCGGCCCCCATCCCGGAGCCCATCCTGGGTCGCCTCATTAGAACAAAAGATACTCTTGGTACTCTTATAACTAAGGAATTCATAAGGCTTTCAGGAGCTCCGTGTCAGAGGTGGGGTCAAAGACCAGATATTAGAATAAGAGATGCCCCTGGTGCTCTTAGCACTGAGGGAATGGCAAGGGTTTTAGGAGCTCTGTGCTGGGAACCGGGCAGCAGAGGCCGATGTATATGTTTCCTGCTCGCTCGCACCACCCAGCTGACAGGCTGTTGAAAGTGCTCATGTTTCCCTGTGTGCCTGGGGCTCTTAGGGCATCATCCTGCCTCAAGTGGTTACCGGCATTGCAGCGAACATCCTCAGCGTGGGCATGAATGCCCTCCTGCTGTACGCCCTGGACTTCGGAGTGGCGTGAGTAGTGACCCCTCCATTCCCCACGTACTGAGTGCCTTCTGTGTGCCGGCTGGGATGCAGGGGAGGGGGCAGCCCAGTGGGGAATGCCAAGCTGTGTTCATGGGCGGCGGGTGCCCTGGAACCCGGGAGGGAGGAACGTTGGGGCTTAGTCCGGGGAGAGAGGGGAGCTGACACCCGCCCGGAGGAGGGTGATCCCGAGCCTGGGCAGACAGGGAGGGGTGACCCCAGCAAAGGCAGGAGGTGGGCAGAGGCCTGTAGGGGTTTTCCCATTGTCCCTGGGTTGTAAAGGAATGGAGCCGGATTCCGTCTCGAAGAAGCTCGAGCAGGCGGGGGTCACACAGAGTAAGACCTCCCTGGGCGGGTGCCACGTGCTGGTCCCCCCTCACTTGAGGCCCCCAGAGCCTGCTTCCTCCGTGTGGCTGGCGTGGTCTCACCAGCACTCGTGGACTGGGCCCCGGCAGTTTTGAGGTGCTTTAGGGCAGTGAGTTCTTTCTTTTTTTCGGCTGTGTTGCGCAGCTTGTGGGATCTTAGTTCCCCCACCAGGGACTGAACCTGGGCCACTGCAGTGAAAGCGCAGAGTCCTAACCACTGGACCGCGAGGGAGTTCCCTAGGGCAGTGTGTTTCTTTATAATGAAAACTGGTTTCGTGGGTCATGACCAGCACTTTGAAAAATTAAATATATTATGAATGAAATAAGATGAAATAGAATAGGAAATAGAACATGGCCTGGGGGTGTTTTTCACGAGACATTTGCTTCTATGGCATGTGAGTACTGGATAGTGACGGAAATTTAATTCTTACTGTCGGTTGCAGTAAAAAATATATACAATGGGCATCCCTGGTGGCGCAGTGGTTGAGAGTCCACCTGCCGATGCAGGGGACACGGGTTCCTGCCCCGGTCCGGGAGGATCCCACATGCCGCGGAGCGGCTGGGCCCGTGAGCCATGGCCGCCGAGCCTGTGCATCCGGAGCCTGTGCTCC